AGACCCTATCATCGGAATCCCTGTTTTAATCTTAGCATCATGATAATGGGTATCTTTTTTTAAAAGATGCTACAAGATGAAACCTGATTGTTTTTCCTGATCTATACCTTCTTTAATCTCCCACTGCTAGTAACCCTTACTGATGGATTTGGTAGTAGCCTTTTAAAAATTATATTCCATAATAAAGGGAGCTAATGCTTAATTGTCAGACATTTTATTTGTTACAGTTTACCCTGACATTTGCCCTGTCGGACATTTTATTTGTTACAGTCTACCCTGACATTTGCACTATCAGCCTTGTAGCAGTGAGCGATGTGAATAAACATGCTGAGAGAATTGCTTTTTGGGATGACGTCTATGGCTTCAAGATGTCCTGCATGAAGAAAGCTGTTATTCCAGAAGCTGTTGTGGAAGTTTTAGATCCGGAGACTCTCATTTCAGAACCTTGTGGTATTAAGGTAGGTGCTTTACCAACTTTATTTTTTATAATGGTATTGCTATGTTTCTTAGTTCAGCATTTGAAACATATTTGAAAATAATATATTGATTTTATATGTGGGCTTTCAAAACAGTACTCTTCCCTTTATAATCAGTATAAAACAAATTGAGGTCATAATATTTACCAGTTGACTATATCATTTCTCTGGAATCACTTCTGTCTATGTTAAAACTCCTTACACTCAGTTTTACAATCCTTCAAATCTAACTTTGAACTGGTTGAATAATTTATATTTACTTTGGCTTAATCAAGGTAAAAGTCCTTCTGTATTATCATTTCTGCTTCATCACCCCCTCCTAGCCTGATTTACAGCCAGATTTTTCATTCATGTCATATATTCCACACAATTTAACTTCTCTCATTCAGATTTCCTCCAGCATTTTCAGATTAAGTAATTACATATAGTGAATTTGCCCATGAAACTAAAGCCCTACTATGTTCAGATTTCTCGATTACTTCCTTTTGTGTTTTGTCATCTTATTTTTTGCCATGTTAATCTCTGGTTTTATTGTGAATTTTTTTATGTTGAATTTACATGGGTTCACTAGTTACTTTGCAGCAAAAAATATTGCTTTTCTTAACTCCATAATTTGTCTGTTTCAACTAGATAATCAAATAAATATACAGTAATATGTTCAGTGTTAGGTTCAGGATATTCTGTCTCTGTTTTTTTGGTTTTGTTTTGTTTTTTTTTTTTTTTTTGTTGCTATTGAGATATAGGAGTTTCTTATATATTTTGGAGATCTCCTTATCAGATATGATAAATGCTTTGCAAATATT